TGGCAAGGAGAAGATCTGCTGCATCTCTCAGATGCACAGGGCTGTTGGGTTTTTCTTCTGTAGAAGCTCATGTGTGATTTCATCGTATCTAATCCATGTCTTAACCAGCGTATCTAACACAACTCCTTGAAAGCAGATATTTAAGCCAGCTCCGTTATTTCTGAAGCACAGCACCCTCCAAATCCCCTTTGGATAACACATTGGTTCTGCCAACTCAGCTCTGCGCAGATGGCCGAGGGAGAACAATAGATACAGCCACAGGAGCTCAGAGAATTTCTGCTCTTGACTTTGCATCCTATTTGAGTAAACAGAAACAAGCAAAAGAGCAGCCAAATATCAACCACGTTCCCCTAGCCTGCAAACGCACTTGTTATCTCTTATTCAGGTGTAACAGCCGGAACACTTAAGAAGCTTCCCATGAATTATACCCATATCAAACAGCCAACCGTACTGTCCCTCCCTTACCCCGCACGTGAGCGAGTGCTGCTTTGGACACAGTGCTGGGCGAAGGGCATTTTCTAAGGTAACTCCGGCACGAACAAATGAGAAAAAAAATCTACTCCGTCAAATTGAACATCACACACTTCTTCATGACTGTGCTGCAACACAACTTGCACTTGCCAGGGAAATAGCAGGTATTCCAAATCAGTGCAACAGGCCACTCATTCATAACATCGAATTGCCGCTCCCAGGGTGCTCCTCCACAAGTGAAGCCGGTTTGGGTCAAGCTGAGCTATTTTTCTTACTCCTATTGTTCTTACACAGACGAAAGCTCTTGTACTTTTGCGCTGAGAAATGACCGTGGTTTAAATTTGAAGGCTGTGGTATCAAGTAATGGGGTATGAAATTTTTTACCTCAGGGTAACTGTTAGGAATTAACCCTAGGTGAGAGCTAATAAAACAACCCCCAAAAAACTAGTGACCCGAGCAGTGGCTGTTGGGAAGCCTATGGGAAGTAATAGTCACAGATCAGGTCTCAGCGAGAAGGGGTCTTCTGCACGGTACCCAGCACCAGAGCCACGGCGCTCTGTGCTCCTTCTCACAGAAATACTTTGGGCCAGATCCATCACAAAACTGCTCTACCTTTTCCACCTGCTGTGGTGCCTGCAGTCAGGCTCTACGGAAAACCGTCAGGATTTTGGGAAGCAGAGAATCACGTTTTGGTTTATCTGTTCACAGTAATGTTTGGCAGATAAAAAGAAAAGTTAATTCCCTAGAGATCCTTCCAGTACTTTTCCAAAGTGCTTTATGCAATAGGCATACCTTCAGCTTCGCTTTGAAAAGAAGAGCTGTGAATTTTCACGATGAAGATGCCTTTACTTCAATTAATAACGGCTCATCCTTTCGGACTACAGCTCCCCAAAAAGTGAAAAGCTGCTTTGTCCTCTCACCAGCAGATAACTGAGGCTGAATGATTAGGAGACTGCAAATCAGCAAGAAAAGCTGCTGCAATAAAATCACTGCTGAAATAAACCGCATATTTAATTTTTAAGGTGTAAAAATTAAGATCTTTACACAGATCGAAGTGGAAAGAATAAAAATGATTAATCAGCGAGCTTAGCTGGAGAGTATGCTATTTATTTTCATAAGCAGCTGTCTTCTGAATCAACATTTCTTAAGTATAGCTCTTGCTGGGACCTGACTGACTGAACCAGCTCCAGGACCCCAGTGTCCCCTCCCCTGGGAGAGCCCTTTGCGGCTGGTGGGAATTCTGCATCCACAGCTCCTGTCAAACAAAGATCATCACCTCAGAATTTCAGTGAGGGTACGCGACTTAATTAACCAGGATAATGATAGAACTGACGTGCCCTTGTGAAGATGGCAAGTGGAGATGATTCACGGAAGCGAAATATGTCAAGCTCTATATACTTACATAGATTGCAATATTTAGACATAACATTTGAACCCGTTCCCCTCAGTCTGTGAAAATGACTTCATGATATAAGGGCTACCTCCTAACACTAGTCCTCTGAGTCACAGCACCATCTCTAATGAAGTACCCTGACAAGAAGGGTGCCTATGATCCAGAGGCCAAGTGGGTCTGGCCTCGGTGGGGCTGGATGGTTCCCATGATGGTGGTGGTGCCTGCAACAGGCATCTGCTGGGGAGAGAGACCTGACAGGGGACTTCAGCCAGACACAGGGTCTCCACAGAGCACCTTGGCTGGAATCTGGCTCACGCGTCTGGCACATGGATCCTGGACCTGGAGATAAGGAGGGACGCTGGGCTAGGAAGGTAAGCGGTGGGAGAGCAGCAAGCGGAGAGGGGGAGGTGGAAGCTCACACCAGTAAATCTGTACACAGCAACCATCACAGAGCACCGATCTCTGCTGAAGCCTCTAGAGCTTTGCTACAAAGCAGATGACAACAAAACACGAACGCTCCAGATGCCTGGTCTTTGATAATACAAACTGAATGGCAAAATGAAAACAAGAAAGTATGAAATGAGGCAATTTTCATTTGTATAAATATGGAGACATATGTTTCAGTACATTTTTATACACATGTGTGTATGTGGGTTTCCAATATAACTTCCTTTTAAAAATGTTTTAAGTCCACAAGGATTTAACAAAACACTGAATGCAAAAGCAGTTGGGAGAAGCCTCATGCAGGAGGCTATAAAACTAAAACAACTGAGACATCATGAGACGGGGACATCCTGCTTGTGAACAGCATTAGAACACCAACTTTATTCAGGAATACAGAATACATTCTTGAAGATTTCCAGTTTACAAAAGTTTAAGACAAGGTTGGGTTTCAACATACAACCTCCCTTAAAGCTCATAGGTAACATCTCTGTTTCAAGTGGACAAAAACCCTCAAATCACAAAAAAAAAGGACACATGAAGGCCACAGACCTGCACTGGGACACATTCAGGCAGAATCCAGCACGGTATCAAAATTCTTTCTGCAGTCACATATCTCAGTTCACGGGTGCAATACAGCCTTGTGTTAATAAAAAATATTTCAGATCTAGTATGAACTGGAAGTAGAGCATCTGTTTTACCATTTTAGTTCCAGGCATTATAAGCAAAGCAGCTTCCAATGAGCAACTGTCAAAACCAGTACTTGCCATGTGATCACCACGTTAAAAATACAGCATTAAATTCTTCCTTCATTTATACAATTTTAAATATTCATTAAAAATTAAATTCAGCATCAATGTCCTTCTATCCTTTTCATCACTAATAGTTTTTCTTATCTACTAAAACCATTTGTCTTTCCTAAGATGTCTAAAAAGTAAAGCGCACAAGATTAACAAGCTGCAGCATTAATTAAAATGAGAGTCATCATCTCTTTCCTCCACCCAGCTTCTAAATCTATCACAAGGGCCCTATTAGCTGTATCAAAGTGAAGTGGTGTAAATAAAACTGATTTGACTTAAAAGGAGAGAAAGAACGAACGCAGAGTTATTTAAAAATCGCAATGCAGTCAGTGTCGTTGTGGATGTCACTGTAGACAAGAGCTGAGGAAATTATTCCCAGGCTCTCTTTTAAAAGCATTACTGCCAGATTTCCATTACCACAATACCAGAGAGGTAAATTGTAATTTGCCTTACAAGGAACTTCAGATTATTATCAAGTGGATTCACTAATGGCCTAATTTTAAATAGAGAGCACTCTGACTTTGGCAGAGGTTACAGACACTCAAAACTCCTGAAATGTATTTATTTGCTTATTTTCAAATAACTCAGATCTTATTTCCAACAAACTAATCCACGTTCTTTCATCTACCTGAAGCAGTGACTTCTTCAAATTGTTTCGTTGGAAATATTTATATTAATACCTGTGCTGAGAACTACCCTCAGTGGTAACCCTACAATACAGATGTAGAATCAGAATTTGGCTCTAGAAGAAAACTTTAATTGGTTCTACTTTTGTAAGAATAGGTCTTTGAAATAACACCCATTTGCTTAAATATGAAGTATGAAGGAAAGCTCCTGGAGGACTAACCTCAAACAAAAAGCTTAAGAGCAATTGCAAACAATAGAAGGACCAATTCCAATTCTACTGGCTACTGAAAAGAAATCCTACCACATGGCTTTTCGCAAACATTTAACTTCAGCCTTACAAGCTGCAGGATTTTCAATGAAATATTTAATTTCATCAGCGCGGCTGTTGCCACCATGCCTTCCCAAAGATTCTACTGAATAATGCAGTATAACGCTGTATTAACACTCCTAGAACTGACACATTATGAACAATTTCTGTGTGATACCACGGCAATTTCCAAAGAAACCAGCTCGCAAATCTGTTCTACAAACCAGAAAACTGGAATAAGATGAAAACCCTCTTAAAGTTTTAGCATGCCTTTTTGGAACAAGATACCGAACTCTGTGCTCCTCCACGTTCAGTGGTCCCCGTAAGTAACTACAAATAGGAAGACAAGACTTGTTTCTCTTTTTGGATCTCTAGAAAACAGTATGGAACAACAGCCAGAAACGTAGTTAACAGCCGCCCAAATCAACATTCAATCAGAAAGGCACAATATCCTTTTGTAACTCGTGTTCTCAAAAACTAAAAGATTCCTGTACAAAGATAAATACACCCTTAGCTGGAAGGGAAGACGTCACACCATTTAGAATGCTTTTTCTTTCTTTTTTTTTTTTGTAAGTCCAAATGGATTATCTTAATGCAAAAGCTACATGAATATATACAACCTGAAAGAGCATCTTTTTATATATATATATATATATGTACATATATGACAGTGGCTGACACAGAAGGCAGAAGAAGCAGGCTACATCCAATTTTTTCCTGCTTCTTACCAATGCAAGGCATTGCAATGCAATGTTTTTCAGATGCCACAGGCAAACAATATTTGGTTTGCACACACCCTGGTGTCTTAGAACACACGTGTTGAAACACAGTCCCCTCTGCGTGAGGGATATGTGCGGCCTAAGTTACACCGGGCACAACGATTTAGTTTGACTAACACAGTCTTAGGCAACTTTAAAATTGAAAAGATGTCTAATTCTAATGAAACTACGACAGTGGCTGACACAGAAGGCAGAAGAAGCAGGCTACATCCAATTTTTTCCTGCTTCTTACCAATGCAAGGCATTGCAATGCAATGTTTTTCAGATGCCACAGGCAAACAATATTTGGTTTGCACACACCCTGGTGTCTTAGAACACACGTGTTGAAACACAGTCCCCTCTGCGTGAGGGATATGTGCGGCCTAAGTTACACCGGGCACAACGATTTAGTTTGACTAACACAGTCTTAGGCAACTTTAAAATTGAAAAGATGTCTAATTCTAATGAAACTACTGCAAACTCTTTAATAATATGCTTTAAAGTCCGATATAATGTTTTAAAAACTGCAATAGAAAAACGTTAAGGCTGGTTCTGGTACAGTGTGACGCAGCGCTCTTACAGAGGCCTGGCAGAACCAAAGGCAAGAGGGTCAGCAGGTGCCCAGAGGGGACATCCCTGCACCCACCTTCACTGCTAACTCAGCCACAGACCTGAGTTTAACCTGCCTGTAAAACAGAGAATAACTGTCTGCTATGTGACAATGACAGCAGTCTGTCTGCCTGTCAAGTCAGAAGGAGTCTTTAATTAACCAAGTCCCTCCTTGTGAAGGACAGCATAATTTCATTGCTTGAGCTGCCAGAAAGGATGAAATCTGACCCAATCTGACCCAACAGAGCAGCGCACTGATCTGTACACTGTTTTACAAGGACCTGGGATCACCTTCACCAAGGCACTTCAGGAAGGGAAGGCTGTCAGTCACTGCTCCCAAAGCCAGCCAGGCCCATCAGCCTCAGAATTCCCCAGTGCTCCCCGCTGGGTCATCTCAGCCCTGGAATGACCTGTGCTTGTAAATCCCCCTGGCCCCCGCCTCTCACATACCATGGCAGTGGACTCCAGAGCTGGAAGTGAAAAAAAATGCTCCCAAAAAATTCAGGTGTATGTGTGGGAACTGAGACAGAACTCAAGTCATTCCCCTGCCTACGCTCAAGCTCAAAAATTCTTGGGTCCTGAGCATGCAGTCTTTGGGCATAAGAAGCTACCTTTGAAAGATGGGGGGAAGAAGGCAGGTGTGGGCAAGTCAGCTTCCTTCACTTCCATTCAACAGCAAAGTCTGATTAATGACACTGGTCCATTACGTGGAAGGAGGAGTGGGAAACCTGTCTGATAGACAAATATAAACAATTTTTCAAGGCCAGTTTCCCTCAGGACAAGGGGAAGACACCGCATTGCTTTTTGTACGCTGAGCACAAGCGCTGCACTGGCATTTAAATTCAGAGCTAACCTTGCCTCTCGCTGCTCGGAATGCCTTCACGTCCCAGATGCTTTCAGGTGGGTGATTCAACACTGTGCCCTGAAACGCCCTTCACGGGAGACCATCCCAAGAGTTAGGACAAAACAGACATAAATAATTCTGGTTTTTTCTGCACAAGCTAGAATTTCAACTAAACAAACATGAATAATGGCAAACTCTGTAAAAAACAATGAGAATATCATCAGTGAAACTTTGACATTTCAGAGCTCTACTGGTGCAGCAGAACTAAACCCACAGGAGACACTGCTCACATACATACACGTGGTACTAAACGTGTGTCCACGCATGTACGTATACACACTGTAAACAGGGCTGACGAGCCCAACACCTTTGACTACGTGACCTGCTTTCAGTTATTTTACAAATGTAACAAACTAGTCACTCACACTAAAGCTTTCTGCGACGGGTGTTTGCCTCGGGCTGGTTTTGGTGTTCAAGATTTGGCTGGGGTTTTTTTTTGGTTGGGTGTTTTTTGTTCTGTTGTTTGGTTGTGTGTTTGTTGTTTTTTCAAGAAGGAGCACATGGAGAAACGCTGAGTTGCCATGCTTGAAAAGAAGTCTTGTGCTGGTTTGTCGAGAAGCTTCTGTGCCTCTGTACTCAGCCTTGAAGTTTGACAGGTAAGCCAACTTCTGTGGTGTTCCTGAGAAAAACCCATGCAAATTTGGCCTAGATATTAGCAATTGGGAAAAAAAATCTCATTTGCTCAGTTAGAGAGTCGTTGCATCTTCAGAAGCTTAAACTTTGAAAATTACATTCACAGTGAGAATGCTCCAGGCCATGAAGAAAAGGGTCAAGCTGAACATTTTCTGCAATTTGACCGCTACCGCTGGGCCAGCGTTGGGACACCAGAGCTCCAGGCAGAAAGACTGCCTCTCATGTGCTTCAGTGACCACCAGTTGGCACTTGGCACCAGGCAGCAAGAAGAAATAGCTCACATGTTGACAGGACGGGGGGCAGCCTGAAAACGAGAGTCCTTCTGGCACAGTTTTTCTGTGCAACATCTGTATATATTACACATGCACATATATACATTCATATACAGTCCAAGAAATACATCGCATCAGTTCTTTGACACAGCACTGATGTTTCTCTTACAAGTCTGAACTGGAACTTGCTCACAGAAATATTGTGGAGAGCTGATGTAGCTCTCACAGCTCTGTCTCTGATGAGCCCACAATGCGGAATTCAATTAACTTGGTGTGGATTCAAATCAAGTCGTCATTCAGGCACGTGTGCCCCTGGAACGGATTAGCCACAGCGGATTAACCCACACAGACTTGAAAAACTAGGTGCCTTCCTGCCCATCCCAAACACTGGAGCAGTTACACTTCTCTGTCAGCAACGTGGTGAACCAGCGCATCGCTCGGATCTGCTGTCCTCTCCAGAAGAGTTCTGTGCCCATCCATGCTGCCATGGACATCTCTTGCCCAACTGCTGGCCGTGCCCAGGGGGCTCCCTGCCGCGGGGGCGTCCGTGCTCACCAGGCTCCCTGTCCGAGACCGGTAAGGAGGGAGATCTGGCTGATTCGGGGAGTCAGATTCGGAGCAGTAAGGAGGAGGAGGAAGGTCGAACCAAGGCGGTCTGCTGTAAGGTAGACAACACAGCAACAGGTTACTGAGAACAGTGGTACAGAAGAAAGTACATCGGTTTCCAATTTTGAAAAAAAGCAGACAGTATTTCTTAGCTTTTCCATGATGACACCTATTAGGAGATCTCAAACAGACCTGCCCATGTTATTCAGGTCATCCCAAAACATCCACAGCACCACTGGGCACCAAGGTTTCTGGTCAAGATGCAACACAGCTAATTACGTCCTGCTTAGCGCTCTGCACTCCGATTTTCAGGGGTATGTGCTTCCAGCTGATCGTGGCTTATCCTCACAGACAGCTGCAAGGAGTAAAGACTTTTTCCTGTATAACATTTACACAACCCGTGAAAGTGCTTTAAAAGAAGTAAGGCAAGTGGTGGATTTGGACCTATAGATAATGATGTGAACACAAGAAAGCTCTGAGGAAAAGGCCATTAAGTGACAGAGATTAATGGCTTATGGTCTACAAATAAATAACGAACTGAATTCTTCACATGACAAATAACTTTTGCTGCCATGATACCGCCTTCAGCGCACCTGCCATGTAGGCATAGACAAGATGAGTACTGGATACAGAAAAACTGTTTTTTGGTTCTAATAGCAAACAAGTAAAGGGACTGAAGGGTTTAGCAGATTGATAATGGGTCCTGGGAGCAATTAGCTCTGAAATTGCTGATGCTTTGTATCAGCCCAGGTGAGAAGTGATTACAAGCTGGACTGCTGCTCATTTTGTTGTCCTTACTGATTAAAAGATACCATTATTATGAATGTCAACATTCAGACAAGGGAGCTGCTGCCAAATGCAGCACAGAATAAGAATGTAAATGATTATACTATCATTCTTAGATCCCAGAGCTTGTACTAAAAAATACTGACAGTGTGACAGTGAACAATCTGGATCATTAAAGTTCATACTGAGCCCTTTTTCTGTAGAGAGGATGTCAGTCTAGGAGTTTATTTTGGAAAGACTTTAGAGACAGAGGTTAAAATAAAGGTTATTATCTACAAATAAAACCAGTGCCATAACTAGAAAAACATCATAACCCAAACCACACCCACCCCAAAAAAACTTCAAAGCACTTTCAGCTATTTTAAATGAGAACAGCACTTTCCATTTCAGAGTCCTGTTCTTTTCTTCTATTGGCAAAGGGAAAGCAGTGCAGAGCAGAGAGACTATACACCTTCTTTAGGCAGGAACTGAAGACCTCGTATCTTTATATAATTATCACATATGAGTGTGATAATATTTAAATAGTATAACCTGTAACCTAACTTTTTTTTTGACAAAACTCCACATTCAGTTTTCCTGTTTTGATTCCAGACTGGCACAGGATATCACTAGTGATACACTTCTTTGCATTCTCCTTCCATCCTCAAAATCTCTGCTACCAACAACACGTGCTCAGAGAGCATGACTTAAGTTTGCATCAAATCCCTTTAATACCAGTAACAGTAAGGGGACCTGAGGACCACGAAGTTTTCATATGCAGAGGGAGCTCAAATTTGCCCAAATTTGGTGCTATGCATATGACAGAACTGCAATGCGGTACTTCTGTCAAAAGCAGCAATAAGAATAAATGGGGAGCAGAAGCACAGATTAACAGACCTACAACCAGCAGCATGAAACTTTGGTGAGCACGGAATGAGCTCCTGGACGTACCTTTGGTCGAGCACAGCCTCGGAATAGGATGGCGGAGAGTCCAGGTCCACCGGTCTGTGGAAGGCCTGGTTGGACATGTACTGGATGCCATTGTTGACGTTGTAGGTGACGCTGCAGTGGTGCGGGTGATCGAGGACCACCAGGCGGGACAGCAGGACAGGGTGCTGCAGCCGATGCACCGGCAGGGTCATCAGATTGTTGCGCTTCCGTTGGTGGTGCAGGACCAAGGCAAGAAAGGCCACCACCAGGACGAAAATGACGGAGCTGCCGATGATGGCATAGGTAATACTGGGGTAGTACAGCAGCTGGTTTTCTGAAGTCACGTAATCTTGGCCACTGCCTGCCTCTGCAAGACACAAGGAAAAGGAAGCCTGACATACGTTTTGATATAAAACTGCTCCTAACCCATGGTGTGTCTTCTGCCAACGCACTGTGTGACAAAAGCAAGTTTTCCTTTATTCTTCAGACTGTGGAAAATTAGCTTATTAAAAGCACGTGCATGGAAATCAGCGAGTGGCCGCCCATCCCTCAGTCCATCCAGCAGATAAACTACCAGGGAGAGACAAACTGAGAAGGAGGAAAATGCACACTGTGGTAGAAAGCACATGCGCCATCACGGGAGCTTCTCTCCCATCCCCAAATATCAGTCACCACTCTCTGTTTCCAGAGGGGAGACACCCAGCTCCCAGGCAGAAGCACAGCACCTCAGCTGTACCCAGCACACAAGAATCAGAGGTGCAAAAGGCCTCATCTTGACTTTCAATGATAACTCTCAGTGCAGTCAAAGTTTACATAGAGCTCATCAAAAAAAGGCAGCAGCAGTCCTGTGCTCCATAGATCTAATCCTGTGCTCCATAGATCTAACAGTCCAAAACAAGTACAGGAGAAAATAGAGATATCTGCTGAGTAAAGGGTGGTTATTTGGATGTTTGTGACCAGAAGACCACCTGCTGGAAAAAATTTAGAAGAAGAAAGAGTGTTGGACGAGCAAAACCAGTGGTGTGTGGTATAGATGTGATACCAGTTAGAGAAATGAAAGTCTAAAAGCAAAGAAGGCAGGGAAAGAAGTGAATGGTAGAAACAGACCAAACCAAACCCCCCAAACTAAAAAAGGTCAGGATAGAAACGAGATGAGGAAAAAAACCTGTGAGCTGGGCTGATGCCATGAAAGATCACGTGAGTGAGCTTCAATTTGTGATGGAAGTGGTGAAGGGAATGGTTGGAAATGGTGAGTGGCAGGGAGCAGGAGCAGAAGCATGAGCTCAAGCAGCAGTATTACAGGGATGACGAGAAGAGATAAGAAGACCAGATCAGATAAGATACAGTATATATTTTATTTGCAGGAGGCACTGAGGAATCAGCAAAGCCACGAAGAATTGTAAGAGAAGTTACAAATGGATTTGTTCAGACTCACGATGCAGAAGATGGAATTCCCACCCGGGCTCTGGGCCCAGATAAGCAAAATGGGAATGAGTTTGGACAACATCTGAAGGGATCTTGCAAATCTTATAAGAAAACACAATAAAAGGCAACAAAATGCAAAGGAGGAAAGAAGCTCAGAGAAGCAAAATGGCAAAACCACACTGATGTGACCCTGCTGCACCTGAGGCCAGCGCCACAGAACCCTGTTCCTCTGACTGCAGTCAGCCCCCTGTCCCCAGGGTCATACAGCCTCTGCGGGCTGCTTCCTTTTCTGGGGGAGAATTTCTATTTCTGTGCAGGCTGTAATTCCTTAAAGCCTCAAAAAGAAAGATGCTATTCTGATACAAGACATTCATCTCCCTCAAGAAAATCGAGAGGCTGAGTGAAAAAACAAACAAAACAAACCCAACCCCTAGACCTCCAAAATCCACAAGATCACAAGAGGACTATCCATCCGAATTCTTCATTTCCTATTGCAGAAGGCTGGGACAGTAAATTTTAACATACCATTTTCCTTTCTTTTGCCTATCAACTGAAATCACTTTTTGGTCACTCAGAATTGCGACGGAGCCACCCACAAATTTCTCTAGCAACAAAATAATGAAAGATATCCTGACTGTGTCCAGCATAGTAGAAGAGCTTTCCTCAAGCACCCTTTGCTGTGCAGCAAGATGCTTTGGATGCTTTCTCCCAATATTTGATTTTGGTAGTTCACTTCCACGGTTAAACACCAAACCACATTTTCCAGCCTAACTAAAAATGCCTTACACATTAGTTAGGTAGGAGGTACAACGTAACATGACTAATCCTTTAAACAACTCCATTCTAAACCATAGATATTTTAGTAAGAAGTTTAGAAATCATAGATATTTTAGTGAGATGGGAGAGAAAGACTGTACCAGAGCTAAGAGAGCATGATTATTGGTCCTGCTATTGACTACAACAACTACTGTGCTTGAATAGATCTGTTTTACTGGTGATGCCATTACAAGCACAGACCAGAGCTTGGCAGGCCAGCAGCAAGCCACACCAGTTCCTTCTTACCAGAGCCACACCTCAGTGAGAATCCTTACTAAATTTATTTACTTGTGCCAACTGAGCTGGAGAGAAAGCAGAAATCATCGGTGCCGGTCAACACTAGGGCTCCAGCTCACTCAGCAAAGTGAACAAAGTCTGCACGGAGAATGTAAATCACAGCAAAAGGGAGGAAAGGAATTTACATGCATTAATAGTTTTAATTACAGCTCATCACATATTGCTGTGGCTTCTTCAATACACTCCCTAAATTCACCAGCTGAGAAATGAACTCACGTCAGATATCATGGACAAGGGCCAGCGCAGGGAGTACAGAGACAAGCAGATGGTTTTAATGCAACCATCAACAAGTTTATTTGCAAGGAATGATCTGTGGATGAATACCACTACCTGCACTTCCTCAGCACAAGGGAAGTACACGTATTCTGACACCCCAGTAAAATACCACAAGCCTTTCACTCAGCTTGGCTCGCTGGTGGCAGCACATTGGCATCAGACTGAGAACAGGACACCTCTGCAGACCTGATGAGACTGATTAGTTACCATGAGATCATTCTGCAGCAGCAGGGTCCCTTCTTTTTATAATTCACCTTATTAAAAGTGAAGAAAAATGAGATAAATGAATTATACATCAACCTCTTTTCAAAATTCTTAAGGTTATCCATCTGTTTAGGATAGTATCTTCTAGGTCCTGCACGAAAAGCCTCCATAAGTCAGATGGCATCTGATGACCAGCTTTAGGACAGCCTGAAACAAAACCAGGTTTATCTGGTTTTACAATCCTTTTCATACAACAAGCACCCACATTTCTTGCAGAGATTTTGTTCTTTGCATGGTCCTTCTTGGCAATTCCTTGGTGACATTCTGGTTTTTCTGCAGAGCTGGGTGAGCAGCAGGGGTGTGGGGGGGAACGGTGGCTTCAACGAACCTCTGCCCGTTTTGTGCACGTTGCAACAGGGAGAAGGCAAGATATAAAACCACCTGAAAGATCTCAGCTGGACATGCACGGCTACTTTAGAAAGAAAAAGCCAGGGCTCTTTAGTTCTGCTCCAGTGACTTTCAGCAAATGTTTATATATATCACAGGAGTCACTGAACTGAATTTCTTGATAATTCAGTCATCTTCTCCCAGAAGAAGCAGGTATTACCCAGGCAGGTTTAAAAAGTTCTGTCTGCTCTGCTCTTAAACACAAATTCACAAAAAAGGTAAGTAGGCAAGCTAATTTAGCTTAAATTCATGGAGTATTTATTCTTTAGTGCCTTTTTTTTTTTTCCTTAAGAAGATCTATGTTTCCTAATCACACCACAGATGAACAGTTTATCAATGCCACTTATGCCTATTAAACCTTATTACCTGGGAAATGCTGAATTCGCAGATTAGGGATTTTTGGAATGTAAAAAGCTCTGTGAATAATTTAGGAAAAGATTAATAAAGGAAACATCACGGGCTGTGCTCAGAGGGCTATCTTATTGACTGTGAACAAATTTGCTGTCTCAAAGTTTTTAAAAAGATGTGAGAGTAACTGCATTAAGCCTGCCAGACACAGGGATGAGTAGCTATTATTTTATCTTTCACAATCCCCTGCTCAAGCCTGGCTTTTCACAGTTCATCAGAGAAAAAGCTTTTGAAATACTTAATCTGAGCAGACATCTGTAGCCTTAATGAGCGTGAGTCACGGTCCATCTCCAACAAAGACACCACTGTAACAACACATTTAAATTCCAACTGGTTAAAGAGCAGAGGTGCAGCTTGGGAGGTTAGAGCCAAAAAAAATCAAACACAGACAGGCAGAGCCTCTGCACATTATTTACTTTTCATGCTGGGAGTACCTAGGGCATCCATCTAAGGCTCCAAAAGCTATTAAATTTCTGATCCTTGACCATCTTATGCCCCACTAAAACCAATCTTATGTAGATTTTGCACACTGGACTTTCAGGATATTCTGTACTCTAGTGCTGTCCTTTCTAAACCAGTTATCTTTTTTCCCTACTGCCCTTCTCCAAGCTACAAACGGGATCTAGCCCAGGCGACAGCGCAGCACCTTGATTTCGCGGAGTTTCATGCTCCGTCACCATTTGTCCCCCTCCCCAAGCAGCTTCCTATTTCCCTTAGACACCCAAGACAAGGATTTCTTTTCAACTGCATTCAAGTGAGCTTTCTGCCCTGCTTTGGCTTTCTCGCTTGAAGGCACAGAAGAGAGGTTTGTTAATGGAGGTGTTACACATACTAAAGGGACCTTATCTACGGGGACTGGCCCCAGTAACACCATGTGATTACACCTTTGCTTACCAGGTCCTTGGTAAATGTGTACGATTTCTGGGAAAGCAGCAGGATGAAGCTTCATGCTTCTTTAAGGTACGTCTGCAACAGCGATGGCTCCACATCCAGACAACGCTGACCTGCACAGATGTCCTGGCTTGAAATGGCACCAGATTATTCTGCGTGTCACCCTGTGCTAATCAGAAGTGTCCCTAATATGCAGGGACCAGAACCACAGCAGCCAGTACATCCCTCAAGCTAAGCTGGAGCAGATGGTGGCTTTATTCCCAGCTCTTGAAGTTGCCCATCAGGTCATTCTCTCCACCTCTGCCTGGCTCCCTGCCCTGCTGTCCCCACCTGAAAACTAGATGATGATGTTCTCGGGCTCTCAGGACGTTATCCCAAGCTCTTCTGTGGTGACAAGAAATACATTGTCCTCAAAAGTGTGTTTCAAATATTAATCAGAAATCTAAATACCACTGGGTGCTGTGTCTTTGCCTATTCTTTCAGATGACTGAAAAGACATTCATGACCTTGCCCTCATAAACAGAGTGGGACACCTCCATACAGAGAACTGGTTATCCATCTATCCATATACTTTTTTTTTTTTAATCATTATTGGTACTCTGT